AAGGATGGTGCCTGCAGTTTAAACCTAATTGCCTTCAGAGGAGCATAAAACTGCACCCAGACTACCGTTTGTAAAAAATACATTTTTGTGTGTGAATCCTAATGAAGGTTTGGGCTTTCTCTCCAATTGCAGTTTAATGTAACTGAAGCAGTCTTACAGCAGTAGGCATTAGGAAACTTCAGTGTTGATAGTTAAATCCGGTGCACTGGGATGACCTCTTTTTACAAGACTTGCAAAAATGCAGTTGAGATGCTGCTTACTGGAACTTCTGTTTAGCTTGGATTTTTGGTAGAAGCATCAGCAACTGAGCGGTAACACAGTGCAATCACAAAGTTACATCTGTCTGAATGGACACACGTGCTTTGCCCATTTCTGCCTGGCTCACCATAGGTCTGATCTTCCAGATCGTCATGTATCACCTTCCATGGGGAAAAAAGGAGGTTAGGTAACTCCTTATATCAGTTTTAAGGCTGGTCTTTGCTTGAAAACTTACTGAGTCTACTAAGTCTACTAAGTAAAATTCCAGCTGGTTTAGGTTCTCTCAAGTATTGCTTAATCCTCAGCTATTTAAGTACTGGAGGGTTGTTGTTAAATCAGTGTTGATTGGTGGTAAAATGGATGTCCTTTACTGCTCAGTATTTCTGTAATGTTGGTTGTTTGTACTGAACGAAATTGCCCAGGCATTCAAATCACAAGCCAGCTCCTTCTGCCTCCTCTGGACACACACAGATTTATTTCACAGATTTATTTTGCAGAACATGCTGAGTTGGAAGGGACCCACTAGGATGATTGAGTCCAACCCTTCTTTCAACTTACTGAGTTTCTCTTCTAGAATTTGAGCTTGTAGTCTCAGTCATTGTACTTATTGTACAAAAGTGCTCTCACTCCTTTGAAGCACTGCAATAGCTGGGCATTCACAGTAGGCTGCCATTCACTGAAGCCTCAGTAAGTTTTGCTCACTAAAAGAGAAAAATCAAAATCTTACCAAGATAGAAGTTTTCATTCATTATAAAACCCAAAATGACAGGTTAGCTGAAATTTTTACCTAATCACAGGACTTCAAAAAGTCAAGAGGTCTAAGAGTAAGTTTTGCAAGAGCTGTAATGGCGTCCTTAGGACCAAAGCACAGTTGGGACCCTGTTATCATCAGCATCTGCCTACACCTTTTCAAAACATTTCTAGGTTTTCTATACCTAAATATGTCAACCCATTTCTGAAAATCTTAGCCTGAAAGTAGGATGTTTTATTTAGATAGGTAGTTCCTTGGGCTAGTAGCTCCCCGCTGCTACATATGTGCTCAGTAGCTGCCAGAGCCTTGCTCCTAAGCCAGTTTTAAGAAACGTAAATCAGAACAATCTTTTACTGTTGCAGGAATTCGTCCTTACAAATGTGAGGTTTGCAACAAAGCCTTCACCCAGCGCTGTTCCCTGGAGTCCCACCTCAAGAAGATTCACGGTGTGCAGCAGCAATATGCCTACAAACAGAGGCGAGATAAACTTTACGTGTGCGAAGACTGCGGCTACACAGGCCCCACGCAAGAGGACCTATACCTGCACGTTAGTAACGTTCATCCTGGAAGTGCTTTCCTGAAAAAAACCTCAAAAAAACTTGCAGCAGTTTTGCAAAACAAACTGAGCCCTGTCCTGCAGAGGAACTCCAAGGATGATGACAAAGATGAGTAATGCAGTGGATTACAGTGGTCTACAGGAATGAAGTTTACATGTAGGATGAGATATATATATATATTATTTTTTTAAAAACAATTCTGAAAAAAGTACCTGCAATTAAAGGGATGCTTTAGTTAATGGGACTCTCTTGTTGCTAGTAGAACCTCAACTGGAAAGAAATATTCCCATTTATGATGGAAACATCAAACTTTTTTTATCTGGTCAATAAAAATGGAAAGCTTGGAAGAGGCTGTCTGTCACCTCTCAGATGGAGTATTTACTGAACTGACATTTGGGCAATCTGTCTTCCGTTTCAGCTCTACCACACATCAGCTGCCACTAAGTTCACCTTTCCCCAGTGTATTTTGTAAAGTTAATTTCTGTTACCTCCTGTACCAATTACTTTTGAGAGGTTTGAGTGAAAAGTGCCAGGTAAGAACAGCTACTAGTACATTGTTCTATGCAAATTTAATTAAAGTGTCTTAAGAACAGGAGTACATTGTATTGGTAAATAAGTTAAAATGTGCAAATAACCTTAACTCTGCCCCCTGTGCAGTAGCTAACAATTTATGGAAGGGTGATCCAAGGTGAGTTGAAACTCTTCTGAAAGGATGCAGAACTTTTCCTCCCAAACTTTCTCTGCTGGCAAATTACATTATTCCAGGGCAGACTTTTGGTTTTGATTTAGGTATTTTAAGCCATGAACTTACTATTATGTTTAGATGCAAGTGGAACCTTAACTCTGATGTTCCTGGTCTTGTCTTGCTTTGAGGATTATTACCACATCCTTTTAACATACATCAATATCGACCTAGAAACCCAAAGAAAACTTGAAGATAAGTATTTTCTGTCATGATGAAATGCAGTTTTGTCTCTATTTTGTGGGGGGGGGAGGGATGTTTGGGGATTTTTTTTGTTTTATAATCAAATGCTTCTTCACTAATACAACAGAGCAGTGCAATGCAGTGAAAAGGGGGACTTAGCCTGTCTCTGCTTCACGAGATCACTGCAAAACTGCAGGCATGAATCTGGCTGGTCATCTGTATCCACTGTCAGTTTAGAAGGGTCCTAGTGAGACTGATGCTACCAGGGAAGGATATGATGATGATGAGGGACTGGTACTACCTCTCTGTGCTTTTGGATTTCTGTAGTCCCACTCCAGCTCCTATTGACCCAGGACAGTTAGGGTAGCCTGTGGGGACTATTGAGTGTGAATTTAGAGATTTAAAAAAAAAAATAAAGCTGTACATTTGGGGAGGATATGCTGTATTCTATATATGTTGAAACAACAGCTGAAATTAAGCCACGTAAAATACAGAGTCCAGCATAGCCAGTACTTTCATAGTCATTACTGCTAAAATGAGAGATTCTGAGCAATTTTGCAAGAATTTTAAAAAGCTTTTCCATTTGCTTCAGTTTTCTAAGGCATCTGCTTGGGTTTTTGTGGGGAAAAGATTCTAAGGGTTTTAAAGCATTCCTAATGATATTAATACTTTATTCAGCACAACTGTTGGTGCCTGGGACCTTGAAAGCAAGGATAATAAAGTGATGCTACTGTGTTAAGAACAAACTTGTCATTCTATGTAGCAGGAAAGTTCACAGGATAATAAATGAGAAGTTGCTGGGAAAAAAAGCATCTGAGGTAAAGTAGAAGATCCTGACTTTGCAAAAAGCTTATGCACTGATCCCCAGTTCTTTGGATATCATGCCATTACAACTGAACAGTATAAAGAGAAGGTTGCTCGCTCTGAACAAAGCTTGCTTGATGGCAAATAGTCACAAAACTGCTGGGCTAAGGAAAGCATTAACAGCTAGTTCAGCCAGTTGTGCTGGTGGGACTCCTCCATAACCTGCTCAGTGAGGCCTCAGTCATGAAACTGCTGAGTTCTGCTCCAGGGCAGGACTGTTTAGGACAGTCCCTCTGAGCAAAGAGACTAGTGTTCACCTAACTGCACAGGATTTGTGTGCTCAGCTCTGCTGAAACCTCAGTCCTTACACTGGTGCAGTGGAGCCAGGGCTGAAACTCTCCCTTTGCAACTAGAGACACATTTTGTGTGTGTACGTATGTGCATGGGTTGTTTTTTAACCCCTCCTGTAGCACATACTGGTTTTGGTCTCCCTCCTGTATCACTGCCAGGGCAAATCCCTGTGGAAAGAACCACAGGCACACTGAGGTGGCCACAGAAAGCACTCACAGTAACAGAGAAAGGGAGAAGTTAAAAAAGTAAAAAAACCCTCTCTGGATGGAGAGCAAAGCTCTGAAAAGCTGCATGTTGTAGCTGAAGTAACTGCCCTGATTGCCTGGCAAGTTTTTCTGCAGAGGATAATGCCCTGTGCACATCAATTTAACAGTCTGGCAAGTCAGTTTAAACTGATCACAAAGTGGGTTTGGGTTTGCGTGACACTTGCAATGGCCACCTGCCAGTTCTGTTACGGGACAAACCAGTGCTAGCCTGTGCCACTACAGAAATGCTCCAGAGCTTACCCAGGGATGCCTGAGGCAGCCACGCTTTCAGAAGTGCCTGACACGAGTGACTTCGACCACTGCTGTCTTTGAAGACTGCCTGCCTTCTCCTGGGTCTCTGAGGGTATAGACTCAGCCAAGACTTGATAGGTTTACAAACCAACACTGCTGGCAGCCTTCCACAGACAAGGCTTTTGTTAAACAAACAAACACAGACGAAGCCAACAGGTGCCCACACTGCCCAGGCTCCAGACTTGTCCTTATTTGTTAGGGGGCAGGATGAGTTTGAACATTTACATGGTTCAGAGACATCTAACGGCTGTATGACACACTGACAGAGAAAGCAATCCCACCCAAACATTGCCCAACTGTTCCCTACTAGCCTGATCTATCAAATCTCAATCAACACAGGGATTTCAGCCCATTTTATCACCTCCTGCTACTGCCCAGGGATCTTATCTCTTGCTTAAACCCACCCTCTTTGTATCTATGGAGCTATCTTTCACAGAAAACTGGCAGTGTTCGGTGACACTGAACCATCCACTTGCTAAAATTCTGTGATCTGGGAAGACACTTGTAAAACAGGTAGAACTTCTGAGAGCTTGTGCTGTGTCTTCCTGGTTAGTCATCTCTGAACCCAGTTTTTCCATCCCCATGGTTTGACTTTTTAGATAGAAATCTAATTAAGCACAGAGTAATCATAACATCACTAGACCAGGTTTGAATAAGTAAGTACCACTATAAGTTTCATTGACACATTTCCCTGGATCAGTAGTATGGAGGAGCACCAGATCACTATAGCTATTTAAGTTTCTTCAGCAGCAAGCCTGTCCATTTTTTTTTTAGGTATCATTCTGGCTGATTTTTTTGAAGCTTATGGGTTGGTCATATTTTTATTTGTAATCTGCAGTGGTATTGTGAAAACTCATACATACAATTTGGATAAAACAATGAGAATGAGGGAAAAAGCTTTCCAGGTGTATAACACACAAAGCAATACTGCCTGACATCATCAAGGCTTATTCTATGTCTTACAGACTTGATTTTATAAGCTTAAAAATTAACTTCTGTTTCAAAATATTTATTCAGAAACTTATCTGAAAAAAAAAACAAAACAACAAACACAAACCCACAAAAAAACCACCCTCCAAAAACCAACCAGCAGCTCTTCATCCCTCAGAATGCCTGGCTTCACAGCCACAAGCCTGCTTTTATACAAAAACCCATGTGCACTGGCGTACACACTCACTTGACACTGGAGATCCTTCCACCTGGGTGGGCTCATTGTCGGCTCAGACCCACACAAAGTCAGGAGAGCTCAAGGCAGTTGCAGCCTCGGCCTGCACAGAGCTCACAAGCCTAAGTACAGAGCCCATTTCTTCTGTGGGCTGCACAGGCTGTACGTTAAGAAACCTGTAGGAGGAGCCACTACGAATAGCCAAACTCCCCACCTTTCAGAAAACTTGCTGGAAATTTCTAAGAGTATTGTTTACAATTCTGCTCCTCTCTTACTGAGCCACTTCTGTTAAATTATCATTTTGCTGTAGTATATTAAACAAGACTTAATGAGAACTTTCATTATAATTCTTAGCACAGGTCTTCCAGTTGTGGTTGTAAGAAAATCCACAAATAGTAACAAGCCTGTTAATAGAGACCTTTGACATGAGCAAGAACTAAACTGACTGAAATCCAGTCTACTATATCAATTCTTTATCATTTGCATTTCCCTCAGCTCAGACAATGCAGATGTCCTTTTGCTTTAGTTCACCAACACTTTCCAAAGTTTTAGTTCTGCAACAATTTTTTTCTCAAAAATTACCAAAGAAGGATGACTTCATTGAACAGTTTTACTTGATAATAAAAACTTTTCTATAAACCTTAGATTGTATAAACTGTGGGGGGGGGAAAACACAGGCTAAGTAAGTTGACTTTGTCCTGCACGGACCATTGAAGTCACCTACAACATAAGCAAATACATATTCTCCATTCGAAATTCACACATGGATTTTTTTTGGTTTTTGGTTTTCTTTATGGTGGAAAAATTTCTTACCCCTGATGGTAAGAAATTAGCCAAAGTTATTAAAAAAAGAATAAAAGTGGTATACATAAACAAAAGTCTTGTTTTGTCTCTGTGCTCAGACCACTTGCTGCTTCTTCGTTTCTTCTCAGTTTCTGTCCATGTACTCTTCAAGGCGCAAAAGCCACTTATTCCAGTACTGTGAGCACAGATCAGGATCCATGAAGTGTGGATGCGCAGGGGAGCCATTCTTATAGGCAACCACGATGAGTCCACAGCGAACCTACATTCAAAAACAGAGTGCTGTCAGAAATTCAACATTCAGATAACATTCTAAGAACTAAACCTAACTACAAAACATAACAACACATACATTTGTTTCTTAAATAAGAAATGGGGAATAAAAAAGGGCAATAATTCACCATAAAATACTTGGAGACTAACAGTCAAATGCTCCAAAAACCCAGAGACCAAAGCTCCAACCAGAGGACATGAACTTTGACTATGAATGATATTTAAACCTTGTAGATGGTGGTAAAATCCCCAGTGACTGATGAGGTTTTGCCTGGGGCCACATAACCAGACTGATGCAGTCTCCGGCATCAGTCTGAATGGAAACAGGTACTTAGGTATGTTCAGACATTCTTCATACCTGACAAATCCAAAATCCCAAATCAATCCCAAACAGCCAGTGCTAGTGGGGGGGCAGGAGGCTAATAGCAGAATTCCAGAATTACTGCCCACACTTCCCTCTGTTAAGTGCTTGTGTTTACTGACCTCTGCACTATTCTAGAAAGTCTTTTGCACAACCTATGAATTAACCTGCTCTCTTCTGCTTCATATTTTCCCTCTTCAATGTTTGTATTGAATCCTTCAGGCCAAGCAGGCTAGAATTGCATTTGGAGTCTTTAAAAACATTATTCCACTGTCTTCTGATTAAGTGATTCACAACACACTGCTTTCCCCAGATGAAACACGGTACAGCTTCCAAAGACCAAGTCCATCATTTAGTCCCTCATTTGTTAGTGCGATACAGCAACACATGATGCAAGCAAGGCCCTCCCACACCATTTTCCTGTTTGCAGGCTCTTTTGCTTTATTACTTCTCCTGCCCCTTCCTACTCTTGACACAAGTAAAAACCACACAGAACAAAGCACAGGGGACTGCCCACATGCCAAGTCACTGTGAGTTCATCTGACCTCCTAAGACTCTGAGCTTCCCTTGGTCCCACTGAGCAGGTCCTTAAAATCACTGAAAATACACTGCTGACAGCCAAAGGCAGCAGAATTAGCAGGAGTAGCAGAATTATTTCACAGTATGTCAGCTTAACCTGATCTAAGACTGGGCTCCTTTGTCACAAATCCTACCAACAATTCCATGATGGACAGCAGGTTCTAAAGGCAGTAGGCAGGGACAAATGAAGATGACGTGGGTGCTGCTACTTGTCTTGGGAGGTAGTAGGCCTACTGACCTGGAAGTCATAGTTGGCATCATGATTTATGGCTCCAATATATGCTGCAACCTGTAATGGGTTGTCATAAGTATTCTTCAGAAACGGCTTTGGTTTCTCTGAAGTTTTCCAGTCAATCACACACAATTGGCCTCTGCATAAGAGAACAAGATAGGACAATGTTTTAAACTTAAGTAGTCACAAGTAAGAAATGAGGGATGAGACAGCACATAAAGACCTATCACACTCAGCCTGTTTCACCCTGATGTCATGTTGCTCATTCTTATGTCTAAATATTTCTCTTCACACTGGCAGTTTAGATCTCAAAAACTAACACTTACTAATATCTGCTGCAGTTCCTGGCAAATGCTGACAATCAATTAACCCTGTCCCACTCACACCCTACTCCAGTAAGGAACTCTCCACAAGAAAAAACCAGCACTTCTGGTACTTCTGTCATCAGGTTCATCCAGGGGAGTTAATCTGTTTTGCTGGTCCTGGAGATCTGCCAAGCTTCCCCCCAGCCATTCAACAACATACCAGCTGCAGCCTGGGACATGGCTTCCCATACACCACAGACATTACAGGTGCCTTAGGGTAGAGGAACCTCACCGATACTTCGCCACGCAGTCTACCAGGCCCAGATACTGAAGGGTCCCGTGATGAACTCCACTTTCCAGAGCTTTCACTTCGCTGATATCTTCTAAGACATGTTCCACACTTGATAAGTAACCAGAAATAACACCATCTTCGCTCTTCTCCTTAACTGCCATCTCTTCAGACAGGAATATAGATTCCAAAGCTGAATGAAAGAGTTCTCCTTGGAGGAAAAGATCTGAGAAAAATAGGAAAAAACACATTTTAGACACTACTTTAGATTCATATTCTACATATTATACAATGAAGCTCTTAAATCAGTCCTGTTTTTTGTGCTGAAAGCTTGAGGATGTGGGGAGAAGGGAGACAAAATAAATTGTCAACAGTGAAATTAGTATCTCTTATATTAATATTACTTTACTTTTTTAGTCTCACTAATTACTCAGAAACAAAATACGAGTTTTAATTTATTGTATACAAAAGCATTTGTGAATTTCTAGGAATTAAAAACATTCTTGGCTGCTTTTGCTGCACTTGCTTATTCTGCTGTATCAGTTCATTTGAATGGAACTGATCTCATGAAACGAGTGGGCACAGTTCTAGGAGTAAGGGCTTATCTCAGAAAGATAAATTTTCAACTGTTATATAAGGTTTGTTATGCCACCTTATCCATTGACGTGCTTAGTAATTAAAAAAGCATAATCACAGGATATTAGTTTTAAAAAGCAAAAAGCATAATAATTCATGTAAGGAGCACTTGGGTACTTATCAACCTCACTACTTACTATCCCCTAGGTCCTCCCAGATCCCTTTCAGTCCTGTAGCTTGGAGGAAATCACCTTTGTATGTCTTATGAAATGAAAACCTCTAAATGCATGGAAATTTCATGGAAGAGGCTGCGCAGACTGGATGAACTAAACAGGTAATGAAAAACTTCACCATAAATAGCAGGATATATTGGTTTTTAAACACTCAAGATATAATTTCAAAATGCCTATTTCCATCTTGTTACAAAGTAGCTTTGTATCTGCAAAGAGGCTCAGTAATATCAGCTGGAAAATATCTACTTGTAAATAGGTATTGGCAAATAGAGAAACAGAGGCAGACAGGATCGAGTCTACAGTCTAATACTCATTTCCCACAGATTTCTAAATCCATTTTAATGGTTTTAGAACAAAGACCAGAGTTTAGGCTCATTGGTAACAGGTACACTCACAACATGCTCTCATGAAATGGAAACAACTTAAAGAATTTCCAAAATGCTTGACCTGTAGGGCCTGATACTGCCACTGTTAGAATATACCTGCCAGTTAAATTCTAATGCTTCTACTTTGCAATGGCACTGTGGTTAGACTTACTTTTGGTATACTTTTCAAAACCATCTTTTCCAAGTTCCACTATCATTTTCTGCTTCCATCTTTCTAGATAAAAGACTTGCTGTGGAGAGAGAGTTTGTTGAAGAATATGGGTAACACTGGGCATTTTCATTTTTTGTAACATGATTTTCCTGGGCAGGTTTGAATCACTGTTGAGAGGGGAAATTCTCTTGTCGGTGTTTATTAAAGGAACCCAGTTCTTGGGAGTCTTTGTTCCAGCTTTAGCTGGAGGTCTGTGTTTATCCGGTGGCCCATATAACAAATTGTCTTCTTCAAATATTGTCTCTGGTGTTTGGGCGCTGGTTTTGTAAGATGTAACAGAGTAGACCAAGTTTTTGTACTTTTCTTGGTCAACTTGTTCATAACTGTTTGCTTTTTTCTTTTTACTACAAATACATGCAGAAGTAGCCAGACATGAATATGGGAATTGCTTTTGACAAAATGGTATTTGAAAAAGCATTTCCAGTTTCCCTGGTTTCCTGGACAGTATCTGTAGGAATTGCATTCTGACAAGAAGTGTTTGTGAATGGTTAGAGTTTTCTTTCTTCTGTCAGGAACATCTGGAGGTTACAATATTTTCCCCCTGTAGAAAAAGACATATTTGATTTCCAGAATCATAAAACTTTACCACCATCTTATTTTTGCCCTTGGCCAAACAAAGAATTGCTACAGTCAAAGTGTCCTCATATACTTCATGCCACCAAAACATCTTCAGATAAATAAGAGAAAGAACCAATAAGCAATGAAAAGAGGAAACAGTCCTGAAAAGAACAGGTACTGGTCTGCAAAATCTGAAACGGGGCAAGCACATAAGGATGTTGCAAGTAGCAAAAGCTGCAGCAGAGTGCATTCCGACAGGAACCGTATCATAACTGCCATGAAAGTAAATACAAAAACCAGATCTGCCACAAACAACCCCTCAAAAGAGGGAGAGTGAAATTAAAAAAAAACTACACAGAAGAGAATGAAGCAAATCTATTGCTATGAGGTTTAAAAACTTTTACATTTATAGTGAATGCCCAGCTTAAGGGGACTGTGGGGACAAGGTACCTTATGGAGAATAAAACCATGTTTTTCTTTTGTAGGAGAAAGCAGACAGCAGCAGTACATACAATTGTGAGACCTGAGACTAAGAAAGCCAAAAGAGAAACCATATGTACTTCAAATATCTTCAGACTCAAAGAAATCTTTTAAAGTTCAGAATAAAATACAAAAGTATTTTTCTAAAGTGAGTTTCAAATATAGTTCTGTTTTGAGACACTTAGGAAATTTAAAGGCAAGAACAGTATACCAGCAATACTGTACTGCATGGTAACTGCAGTGCTAAGTCCTAGGAAAGTTTTTGCACATGGCTAAAATATAACACCTGCATAGTGGCATTTCACTCAACATTAAATATATGCAGAACTGAGGCCCTACTCTCCTACTGAAAGTTATCTGCTTACCATTAGAAAGCTCCCTCCACCCACTGCAAAGAAAGAATCTGCCAGCTACCATCAGCATTCTGTTCCAGACAATACTTTCACGTTATTCTTTACCTTCCCCACACTCCTTAAACAGCACTTCACACACTGCCCGAGCTGTGCATGCCACAGAAAACAAAAATGCACTATGGGGAGTTATTTTGTATGGACAGATCCCATGCTCATGCACAACTGCTGTGGGGGTGTACGCATCTGTCACACAGAACAGTTTCCAAAAATGGGTTTGTACTGGCTGCAGCTGATTAGATCAAAGCATCTCATAGCAAGAGGTTGAGACTTTGGACTTGGTTTCCATAAATATTGTTGTTCATCTGTAAAGGACAAAACCATCCAGCTGAACAAATTTAATCAGGAGTAGGCAGATACACTGCTCTTTTTCTTCACTGGCTTTACATTTTCACACTGACCTAGTATGATCCAGGCAAATCAAAACTGTTCTGTAACCTGATGGCATGCAACCTGATACAAAAGTAACCTCTCAAAAGCAAATCCAAACCAGGAAAACACAATAAGAACTTTGTCTCCTGTAGCCCTAGCATTTGTGACCCAGTACCAGGTGCCCTGTAGGCAAATTTGCCATCCTGTTGTCAAACGGTCTCACTCAGTCTTTAGTAAGGGCTTCCTGTAATTACAATGCATATCAATCAAAACAGTTAATGATTTTAAAACTGCATCAAGGTCCATAAGAGAATAATAGAGGAAAATAATGAAAGTACCAACTAGTTAGTTCTGCTACTGACTTTTTACAGTCTGATTAGGCATAAAGCAAGCCACCTCACAAGGGAAACCTTACCAGTTAAGATACTTTGAATATATCACTTCCCTTTTTTAATAATTACATTATATTTAATATCAAAGAAATTCTAAAACTGCTTTCCTTATCCAGCAGAACTGGGTTGGGTAGAGTTGCACTTGTTCTCTCATTTTTCAATATTCAACAGCAAGAATGGATATGATCACCTGAGCATCCTCTGACCTTCAGATTCCTGTAAAAACTACTCTCCTGCCTGCACAACAGAAAAGCATAGTTAGGTGCACTATGAAAGGACAAACGAGACAATTAAAACCATTTTACTGCCACAAAAGTATGCAAGTTCTGCCAAAAAATAGAAATACCTGCTTTAGACAGTTTACACAGCAGTAAGAAATTGGACTATGTGTTTTGTAACTGAAGTCCTGCCCTGCTTCATTTTATGGACATGTGAGGAAGTTTTACAAATTTTTGTGAAACATAACCAAATATCATGTTTCCTGTAATTTCTTAAATGATGTCATAAACTGTTTCTACAGCTCAGCTTGCTAAAAATTTGTAACAGCATAAAGAGGTAGTTTTTACATTATACATGTCTCAGTTCTTCAGTTCACCCTGGCTTTTCAGTCAGTGAATTTTGTGTGTCTTCACTATTACTGCCAATTGATTCAAAAAATATAAGAAGCTCCCCATGTTTTGTCATTTCACTATCATGAAGCAGCTCTCTTCTGCAAACCTGCTACACCAGGATTTGCAGCAACTCATTCTTCTCAGAGACTATCACATTTTTAATAGATTTTTCAGTGTTGGAATGGGATTGGTTACCTGGCAGAATGTGCCCTTTGCTAAAAAAGAAATAATGAATGATGGTATCACATTTCAACAGGTGTCAGTTTGCTGTAGGAGGTAACAAAAAACAGTAGAAGCAGCAAAGAGATATATAAAGGTGAGGCTTTAATACTGTAAGAATATTGCTTCACTGTATTTTTTAATCATAAAAAGCAGTGCAAAAAAATTAATCTCTCCTCTCCTGAGATTTACCTCTAAATAAAGCTTTGATTTAAAATAAACCAGGAAAAATATACTCTTTTTCCAATGTAATAGTGTCCAAGCTTGTAGTTTCTTGGGCTATTGTTTGAAGACCATTAACATGTGCATTAATGGTCATTGTGTATGTGCATTAATCAGAACAGAACACATGTTGGGCCAATGACTGTGTATTTGTTACATCAGCCAGAGCACAAAAAAAAAAGTTTATTCTGGCTTTTTGTCAGCTGCAGGAAGCAAGATGATACCTGATTTAGCATAAAGTTCATTTGCAGTAAGCTGCCCCCTCAACATTTTTTAAGGAATACATTTATACCAGCTCAGTGTTTTGAACCATGGGGCTATTGAAATATGGAATATTATGAGCTCTACAGCTAATTAACTGCAACACTGATGCAGTGCCTCAGTGATTAGTATAAATTTTGATTTAACAGCATATATTACACTGGAGTAATACCTGTGGAAATGTTTGTGCACTCTATGAACTGAACCACCAGGAGAGTCTGTCTGCTGCTGTCCTGTTTTACAAAAAGAAAGAGGTTCTAGGATTGCTAAGAAATAAGGAACACTTGTGTCCAGCTAAATAAAAAATCATGTGCTTTTCAATAAATCACAGTGGCATTTCTGTGCAAATAACTTACATTTACAAGAAAGAAATGGAGTTGGAGTGGTTTGGATCTACTCTTGCCCCTGAAGAACAGAATTTAATTGATATTTCCCTCTGGGGAAGTGTCTCCCTTCTCTCTGAAAGGGTTTGTGGTTGAAGCCTGGCAGAATTACTTCAAGTGTTGCATGATGAGCCACACTGGAGGAAAGAAAAGAGGAAAAAAAAAGCAGGACTTAACTTTCCCAAGCAAGTTGACTTTGCAGCTCCAACAATAACTGAGCTAACAAAACTGAGGAAATTTTTCCCCGGATAGGAATGAGTGGCTTAACAGAAGAAAATAAAAAAGATTATTTAAGAAAAATTTCACATCTATAAAAACCTACCTCTAATTATGGTTTCGGAAAATAACCACCATGGTTTTCTCTCCACAGCCACCTGTCCAGCAAACAAAAGCACTAGCTTACTTCAGAGATAAGAAAGAGCCCCACTAAACGCAGCTACAGATCTGTTGCCCTGTGTCCCTAACTCCAGGAGAACAGATGCACTGATGAAGGTATAACTTTAAGTTAACATCACAGGCTTTTCTCTTGAAGAAGTATTACTAAGTCATGTAGAAAGGCAACAGTACCCTACATTCTCTTTCTCTTTTTTTCTGGCTACAACTTAATAAGGCAGGGCTTTGACAGTTGTATCACTTTTAGAACCTTACACACTTGCCCAGTCCCTGCCCCCAACCTCTTCTCCTTGGTTCCCTGCAGTTTGTAAACTAAATTATTGAACCTATCCAGGTTAAAAATACACCTCCCTCTTTTGGGACGTTTAAAGCATGGAGAGAGAAAATTTAGCAACCCAGTTTAAAGCACAAGCCCACAGAGCTACACCGAAAAAAGTTCAAGCTTCATTCCCAGCTCAGCACTGGGAATGGAATTAGTGGGAAACAGGGCTGTAACACGACGTCAGCGTTTCTGGCGATCTGTGAGAGCTGAGCTAACACCGGTGACCACCGGCAACGTTTCTACATGGGCACCAGACGTCCGGAAACGCGACAGGGCCAGATAGCCCACTCTTGTGCAGGGCTTCTCTCTCGGACAAGTCACTCGGGACAAGAATTCCCGCTGAACGCGGGCATACCCACCTAGCCACGGCAGCCCGGCCATGCGGCCCCCTCGGTGAAAGACCCGGGGGCAGGGCGAGCAGGGTTCACCCGCCAGGGGTGCAGGGTGGGCTAGGCTCGCCTTCCTTTCACTCGCTCTCATGACCCCCCGGCCCAGCCCCAAGGCGCTCACGACCCACGGACCCGCGTTACCTCAGACACACTTCCCGCCACCGCCGCGGGAAGCAGCACGCAGGCGCGCTCCGCCCGACGCCGCCGTCGCGCTCACCGCGCACTGCGCCGCCCTCCGCCTCATGGGAATTGTAGTTCTCCTGCGCCCCCGGCCCCTTCCCCTTCGCTGGAGCACCTCGAAAAGGCACCTGCGAGAGAGGCATGCCTGCTCTGTCTCGATCTCTTTGGGTGTTATTTGAAAGGCTCTGAAGAAAACAACCCAAATCTCTAAATGCAAGGAAAAAATATAGCGTTTTGCCGCCATCTTGGATGAAGGCAAGCAGCGCCCTGCCCTCACCCCAGATGGCGGCCCCCCGGGGGTGTGGCGCGGCGGCGCGGGAGGCGGTGGCGGCGGCGGGGGCGGTGGCGGCTCCGCCTCGGGGTATATGACGAAGCGGCGGCGGGGAGGAGACGGGCAGTGCTTGTTCGTGATCGGAGACATGGCTCTGCGCGGCGGGGACGCGCAGGACAAGGTAGGCGGCCCGGCTGGGGCAGGCCGCGGGGGCGCAGCCGGGCTGGCCCCGTGGGGTGAGAGGGAGCTCCCCGCTCCCTTTGCCCCCGACAGCGCTGGGACAGTGACAGGTTTTTATTTCTGCTCCGTTTAGAGTTTGTTTTTTAAATATTAGTTACCTTAGTCGCACTGAGCTCTCCTGAGGGCAGGTGGTCAGGGTGCCCAGGGTGAACGCGGGGTGTAGCTCCTGAAGGAAGAGGCCCAGGGGGAGATAAGTGGGTGGGGCAGGCTTAAAGCCGGAGTGGGAAGGAGGAGGATGGAGGGAAGGGCTGTGCAGCTGCCGTGAGGCGGTACGGGCTGCACTCCTGGGCTGTGGCAGGAGCAGGATGACAGCCAGGGCTCTGGACCTGCAGGAACGGGGCCTGGCAAGGAAAGCAGGAGCAGGACCTGCTCATGAGGACCTGTCTCTGGGCACTAGCGGCGAAGTGCTGTAGGCAATTGTGCTGCCGAGGGTTCAACTTGCTCTTTCTCAATGGGTCAGCTGCCTAGTGTGTCTGTGACCAGCCTTCCTGGTTATGTGCTCTAGGTCAGCTGTCACATCAGCTGCTGTGCCTCTTTCCCTTGGCTGTCACATCAGCAGCTGACTTAGTTTTCCTTTCTCTGTAGTAGCGTTCGAACCTTTAAGTGCCAAGGAGCCTTTAAAGCAGTGTGGGGTGTTACCTAATGTTCTAAGACTCTCAACTTCTCTGAGGAAATACAAGTTAAATGCTAAAACAGAAACTTTGTGAATTAATGTGTATGTAATGTAGACAGTGATTGAAATTATTTCTCCTACTGGGCAAACTACCTGGCTTAATCTACCTAAACTACCTGATTTAATAACTATCCTCAACACACCTTGAATAGAAGGTAAGGCAGCCCTGTAACAGTCAGTGAATTGCCTATTTGTCTTTCATGTTGTTGCATCTTAATGCAGTTTTGCATTGTGATTAAGCTTAATTCACTTTCAGGAAGATGACTTTGTTTCAAACTGTTAGGTGTGCTTAAGTCTCTTCAGTCTGTGTTTTCTCCAGCTTTTTGCAACATATATATTAGCTGACTTAAAGGCTAGAAATATGCCAGGCTTGTTTACTAGTTTAGTAACTTCCTATAGATACTTTCTTTTCATGTCTTTCCCTTCCATATGAATCTCATTTTGAAACAATCCTGACAAAGTAGAACAGGCAAAAGTTTGCAGAGCAAGTGTTCTCTAGTAGTTTGCTGTGAGCTGGCCAGTGCTTTAACTGTTTTCTGGTGCATGTGAAACTATTTGTATTAAAATGTCTGCACTTTGAGAATAGTGAGTCTTTATAGTCTTGCACGATCTGCAGGTGATGGGGTGGAGGGGGAAGGTCAAATATCAACTCTCTTGCAGCAACTGGTAACTTTTGATGTGCCTTTTTAACTTAGCAGGCAGGAATATTGGGGGAGGGGAAAACGTTCCCATGGTGAGGGTTGGAGTAGCTTTAAACTCTGATGTTCAGTGGACATATATTAACTAGTTTGTTTCAGGTTTTAGGGCTGTCTTGGGATTCCAGCAGCACGGGGGAGGATAGAAATACTCCTGTCTTGTCTGTTCCTGTCTAGGTAAAGAAACACCAACAGGGAACTGGTATGTGGCCAGTAGATAAAGCCTGTGCCTGTAAAGAAAGCTTCGTTAGGTATTAACCTTGAATAGGAACCACTGGTAAGTATAAACTAAAAACTGACCCTGAGGTGGCAAAGCAGCAGAGGATCAGGATATGTAGGAAGAGGAAGGGAGGGTAGGATAAGGGTGATTGGAAGTGCAGTGGGAAAGAAGGTGTAATTGGTCATGGGGGAGGAAAAGGCACTTCAGAATGTGAAACAAGTAGTGGGACTGCCAAGATAAGCTTGAGTAAATACCCTGGTATTTCCTAACGTTGGTGGCTTGATAGTATTTTAAGGCTTTGGTCTGCAGTTAAAATGTTCTAGATCAAAATACTGAGAGCAAGTATTTGTCTTCACTGACTCCTTCTCAAAGCAGTCAGTGAAGACAAAATGTTGTGTCATAGCCTGAGACTTGCTGTTATAACTCACAAATGGTGATTCTGTGTGCTGGACGGATTCTGCTACATGGTCTGAAGGAATGAGGGCATACTAGGTCTTGCCTATGCTTAGCAAAACAACTACTTCTGCATACTGCTGGGCCCAAAATCAAATAGGGAGATGAACTGCTAGCAAGGCGAAAGTTACTGGATAAGGATAATGTACTGTCAAGGACATACAGCCTCCATGAAGCTGGCCCAGCGGTTTGGGCTAATGACACAAGTTCAAGTCCGTGGAAGGTGAAGCCGGTGTGGTGAGGCAGTATTTCTGAGACTCCCGAAGGCCAGCTCTGGCCTCACTGCTGGAGGGCAGCAAAACAATCTTGTGGATGCTGACTGTGGCTTAGGAGTTTGCTGCCTTTGCACCATTTCCATTTTAGTCTGCCACAGGCCATGCTCTACAGGCACACTACTGCAGCAGAGTGGATTTGGCCTGCATGGCCAAAGCTGTTGCTTGAACCCTCAAGCTGAGGAATCAGTGTGTTGGGTGGAGGTGTCCTATGTGCTGCTGGGTGGATCAGGGTGAGCTAGCAAGGCTTTTGCTTGGAATATGTGGTCCTTGAAGTTTTATAAACATTACTCCCTCTGTGTTCTTCCTTCTGTAAGGAGCCGTATGACCGCTTGGTTTCTGTAGAGAGTGATGCAGGGATCCTGCTGACAGGAGAGCTAAGTGATCAGGCACAGCCTGATTATTGCACAACCAGAGGCAACAGGTGCTCTGCCTGCAGAGGCTGCTTTCTGCTTACTTGACAAGCATTGTACTTGGTGAGGAATGCCATTTCAGTGTGACTAAATTGAACTGTTTTTCCCCATTTATTGGTGCTTTAAGCAAAATAATGAAAACCTTTACATCACTGGAGTTCTGCAGTCCAAGTCACAATGTGGGAAGGCATTTTTTGTAGCATAAGTAGCAACATGAAGACTGGTTCAATTTTTCCTGGCTGTTTGCAACCCAGACTACTTCAGGACTGTTCAGTTCAATGTCAGAGATAAGAGCAAACCTGTCATGAAGGCTGCAAAATCAAAACTTCACGTACACTGTGAAGTGTTATGTTGGCTCTTTACGCTGCATGTGTGCAGATGTCTTTTTAGTATCTTGACTGAAAGGAAACTTGAGGTACGTGTGCTGAATATGACTGAAATGTAGTTCCAGCAACCAATGCTGTTAATATCTGCTGGCCAGATACTCTGCAAGTCTGCTGGTTAACTCCTGGGTGTCGAAAAAGGCCCTCTAGAACTGATTGCTCTGATTAAACTGCCAGAAAACATCATGATCTCTTAGTGCTCTCTGGAGAGCACTTAAACTGGATTAATTAAAATGACTGTTCTGTAAAAAGTAATGAATTCTGGGTAGTGGCAGATGTAATTACTACTGAAGTCTTGTTTGTGGGCTATTGCTTGAATGATAGCAGGAGGTGATCAGTAAGGGGAGAGGGTTTTTGTAAGGTATCTGACAATAAGCAGAAAGCTCTGACGTGGGAGCCCTTGTGGAAGGGCTCCTTGCTCTTTCCAAGAACCTGGCTATGTGGAAAATCCCTGAATTCACCTGTCTTTGAGAACAAATACATATTCTTATTTCACTAACAGTCAGATGTTGTACACAGTTGCTTGCAGTGGCAGATTCTTTTGTTAGAATGCAGAAGTAACATCGAGTCATCCAGAACCACGCTAAAACTGCAAAGGGTGTAATTTGAAAAGCAACAGTTCAGGCCACTCAACAGAACTAAATGGCTTCAGTGGCTGAGGGCATTTCTTTCCAGGGATGCCTGCAGGGTCAAGATGTGTTTGCATTTGGGTGAGGCCTGATCAGAAACTAAATGTCTGTCAAGTAGAAGCCTGGGTAGCTGATGGCCCTCACTGAGTTGTACTTAAATGATGCAACTCTTTTTTGTTTGGTTGGTTTTGGGGGATTGTTTGTTTTTTGGTTGGGTTTTTGAGCGGGTTTTATTTGTTTGGGTGTTGGGGTTTTTTGTTTTGTTTTGTTTCGTTTCCCCCTCCCTAGCATCTCTAACCAATAGAAAAAAAGTAAGTGCTTTAAAACTCTTTCTGGATTGGGCAAGTAATGCTCCTTGCTGTTTCCTGGACTTTAGATCAGATGTTGATCATGATGTCCTAATTAGTACCATAATATCTAGATTTAGTCTTCTGGTCCTGAAACCTAGAAATGTTAATAATCAGTATGATGACTATATGTTCTTCTGGAGGGCTCTGCTTGATGTCTTGTTTTAATTTCCAGGTTAGATAGTTGTGGTGGACAGTATCTGTACTGAACAGGGAAAGTTTTTCTTGAATCCTCAAGAAAGCCCAGGGATCCTGAAACAGGTCACTAAGAAGACTGAGCCTAGTAGTGGGAGATGTCGACTTCTGTAGTCACTACAAACCAGAAGTGGTTTCTGAGAAAGAGAAATGAAAGTGGGAATACTGTACTGGGTTTGGGTGAATGTTTGTTTGCAGTCCAACCCAGCTGTTTCCTCTCTGTGTGTGCTCTGTACCTCTTTGGTCATGTGCTGCAAGTAAGGAATAACCCCTTCACACTCTCTGGGAGCTATAATTATAATCCAAGCTCGGCAACTGGGAAGTGACAGACTGGTTTCTGGTAGCTGGGGTGGGGAAACTTCAGTTCTCTTGCCCGCTGCGTGGAGTGCAGGGAAGAAACAGTGACGTCCTACAATGATGCCTCTGGATACAAAGGACCTGCCAAACATGGTAGGCTAGAGAGCTAAGGTGGAGTGATATCCTGGGAAGGCCTTGGGTTGGATGCCTGCTATGGTAAAAGAACAAGCCTGGGACCTGGAGATTACAGTTTAATTCTCTGCATAGCCTTCACGTGACCATAAGCAAATTGGTTCTCATTCTTGTAGGATGGGTGTAGGATAGATGATGGCAGGAAAGGTCCTGAATGCAAAGCTGTTAATGCTGCAGAAGCTGATGTTTACATTGATCGAGGGTTGATGTGGAACATCTGCTTTAGGTGCTCACTGAGTTAGAGCTGTGGTGACAGGAGGGGGGCCTCTTGCTTTCTGTTCAGTGCAGAAGTGCTACTCCAGCACTTTTTGTAGGGAAACAAGCACTCACTCCTCCTGAAGTCAGGCAGTGTGAATGCTTCCTTTGTAGTCTGAGCCTTGCTGCCATGATTGTGTAATCCTAAAGGTCTCTGGCCTGGAGTTAGGAGCTCACAGGACCTTCACAGGACTAGAGTAGACCAGTGGTCTTATGATCCTCAGCTTCACATAGCTCCGGGTTCTTTACTGAAGACCAACTCCTGAAGGGTAGAGGTCAATAATCCTGTGCCGTCTTCATATATTTCAGACTGCAGTGGCCTTTAAGCCTGGGTTGTGTACATTTACAGCAGATGTTTAAGGCAGTAGAAGTACAAGATTTTTTTAGCAAATGGCTTCATGCTGTTCTGAGCGGCAGAATCCCACCAATGTATATAGGGGTGTTCTTGACCCTTGTCCTGTATTTGAGCTGGTCTCTCACTTTGGGCCCCATGCGTAGTACATATTGCTCTGGAGTGCATAGCTGAACACTGCTGCTGACTCCCAGTTGATTCTGTGTAAATAAGGCCCTGCTGTGAGCATAAACTCACCTGCAGTATTATTCCTGGGAATTGTTGAAGCTGCAGATTATGTGTTCTTGCCCCATTGTCTCTGCAGCTTGTGCAGAGTGATGGGGAGACATACCCGTGACATGTGAACTGCTTTAATCTGACAAAGCAGTACCACCTTGTGTCCGTACCTGTCCATCTCTTGTGTAGGCAACTACTAGGCATGGAAGGGTGTGCAGACAGCATCTAATCACAGGTTACCTTCTCCACAAGACAATAAGAAAGCTTGCAAATTCAGGACTGACTGATTTGTGTAATCCTTTCCTTAGTTTAGCTGAGAGGAAACCGTTTCCTTTGGCTTATAATACTTTCCAAACTCAGCAGTTCATATTGTTATCGCTGCTGATCCTGTTTGGACACTAAAGATAAGTAAGCAGAATGTAAAACACTGAGATCTGTATGTCGCTGCTTTGCCTGCTGGTGTTATCTGGCTGGGAAACACTGACCAGCTTGCCTTTCGTTCATTTGGCAACACGCAGTGAACTGCGCTCCCAGTGAAATTAATGCCTGACTACCTGTCTTTCCTGTAGTGCTTTAACGGGATGGCTTCTGCCCAAACCAGTGTGCTGTTTGGCCTGTGCCTTTCTAGAAAGTTTTAGAATTGCATGCCTGTATGGGAACATAATAGTCTGTCCAAAGGTGTGACTGTACTGTTGGAATCCCTCTAGAGTTTGGAGTCCCACCATGTCCATTTGGATGTGAGCAGTGCTTGGGACTGCTAGGAACTGTGTTCCAGGGCATGTTCTGTAAGCATGCTTCTTGCCAAGGCAGTACCCAGGATGGGCTTAAAGTCTCATGTCCTACAGGAGTCAGAATGGAAATGTGCTGCATACAAAGTCATTCCATAGTCATAAGGTTTAAAAGGTTTATCTCATCTAATTCTAGCTAACAGTGGGGATGCAACAGATAAGTCTTTCTAATGTGGCTGAGCAGATGAGGGTACAGTGACTGGGATATCCCTCATTTACACATGGCAGTCTGATCATAGAGAGTAGCAGTAACCATCGGGGGCAGGCTGGATAGAGGCAAATGCACGCCGGCCTAGCAGCTGTGTCCTCTGCAGGCAGCCAGGGAGAATTGTTATCTACCAGATCTGGGCTGCAGATGGCCAGCCTGGGGGGGAGGGAGTTTCCAGAGCCTTTTGGAAGCAAAGCTTTACCTTATAAAGGGCAACCTATCAACAGTTCTTAGCAGCTTTACAGAGGCTTAAGGCAATATTCAAGCAATCTGTGATATGACAGGATTGCTCAGATGCTGTCTGCCATTTGTTTGTGGGCTTTGGTGTTGTGTGCACTAGTGTGCTGCAGAGTGGTGCAACAACATCAGTCATGGTCCAGTTCTCCAGCTTGCTTTTCTGGGAAGGCCTTCAGAGTTGTCTCCAAAGGATAACCTCAGGATTCATCCTGACTCTGACGGACACTCTTCAGCAAGCTTCCTGTGTTGTGACCTTGATCTCTGGTTGTTTCTCCCTTATGCAGAAAACAAGAAAGATTTGTTAGGCCACAGCCCTTAAGGGAGGGCCTCTTAGAAGACAGGCTAGAGGATCCTCAACTGAAAAGGCTATTCCACTGCTCTGGAAGTTTCAGTATAGTTGAAATTATGTTCTGGGTCTAGGCTGTTGGAATGAAGAAATAAACCCCCAAAGGAAGATGCTGGCTCAGTTTAAGGCCTGTTTGAAGCACTTGGAAGGCAAGTCAGATCTTTATCGAACCAAGTGGGCTCTGAGGTCTCCTGTAAATGGTGCCTCACATGGCAAGCTCAGAAACCTCAATAACTCTCTGATCTAAGGGTGAGGAAAGAGATCATAAGGCTAGACTCTTAAGAGCTAATGTTCTACAATCCTGTGGAGGCACAGGATAATGAAGAGAACTATTAGGGTTGTTGCTGTCTTTTGAATGACATAATAGGCTTTGGCTTGGTGGGCTCCAAGTAAACAAGTTGGAGAAGTACTGGAAGGAGGATGTTGTTTTCAAGAAGAGACTTCCCAAATACCTCTAGTGTGAACTCCAATAATCATTTCTTCAGACTTTAGGCTAACAAGCCCTTTTCTTTCCTGTGCTTGGAAGGGAAGGCTTGTTACAGTGATGTGCAGGTAGTGTCAAGTCTGTCATGCTTGGCCATATGTGCTGTTTCTGAAGGCAGTGCTGTAGTGCAGAGTGGTTCTCATTGACAGCTGATGATCAGTCTAGCTTCATTAAGCCTACCTGATGCTTGACCAAGGCTTATACTGTGAATTCTGTTGCAGCTGAGGTCTGTATCTGTAGACCTGAATATTGATCCTTCTCTCCAAATTGATATCCCTGATGCCCTAAGTGAAAAGGACAGAGTGAAGTTCACTGTGCATACTAAGGTAAGGTCGTGGGGAAAGAGAGGTTATGCAAGTAATATGTGTATTTGCAGTACACCTACCTGTAAAGATGGCAATGAAGGAAATCTAATTAGATGGAGACTTTCCACTTAAAGGTGGCTTGAAGGTGTGTATATATAAAACTTCAGATTCCCTAAGACTTGAACGCTCTAAACAGAGACAAGGTTAGCTGATCATTAAGTTGGCTTTGCTAAGGAATCCTAGCTAGACACCAGAAGGCTGTGGATAAGAAAGCAGCTACTGGGAAATGTCACAAAATAAACTGTATTAATGCTGTTCCACAACAGTGCCTTTTATCTAACAGTCTGCTTAGTGGTACGGCACTCGGCTCTCGAGTGAGTGCCAGCTCAGCTAAAAGGAATTGGGCAAGGCTCTTACTAGGCAGAATAGCTTCCTTTTGGAAATGGACAGAGCTGTTTCTAAAAGCACTGATTTACAAAACAGTAGGGGCTTGTCTATCTTCTCTTCCAGACTACACTGCCAGCGTTTCAAAGCCCTGAGTTTTCAGTTACACGACAGCATGAAGACTTTGTGTGGTTGCATGATACGCTCACTGAAACTGAAGAGTATGCAGGTCTCATTGTAAGTACTTCCTAAAAAATGTAATTCTAACTGAAAAACTATAGCAATCTAAAGTGCATACTAGTAAAGGTGTGAAATATGTTTTATCAATGCTAGTAGTGTGTCATGGCCTGGGTATTCCCTATGCTTCCTGTTGCCTTAATTCCCAGACAACTTGAGTGGTGTGGCATTTATGTTAACTTTGCATATAACTTGGAGCAGCAAAAAAGACTTGATGCTCCGAGAGTCCCTGGCTCCATGGTGGTATTAATATCTGCCTGAAGATGACAGTGAAATAATCTATTAAATATGGTCTGTCCTTCCTATCATGATTCTTTAGGAGGCCATGTGGGCCACAGAAGATGGCTGGCTATGAGGTGGATTATAGAGGCTGTTCTTGTGGGTTGGTTTCCCTCCTGGGGCAGGGATAGCACAGAACTGGGAAGGGCAGACAGGCTGTCAACACGCTCTAGAATTCCTGGTTCATGCACTCTTTACCACACTTTTCCATGATGAGGCAAAAGAGCCTCCTTCCAGAGAAGGCTAGAAGTAATTTTGGAAAACTGTATTTGCTAGTATCTATCACTAACCATTTCCTTGGCTAGATACCTCCAGCACCTTCAAAGCCTGACTTTGATGGTCCCAGAGAGAAGATGCAGAAGCTAGGAGAAGGAGAAGTGTCTATGACAAAAGAAGAATTTGCCAAAATGAAGCAAGAACTAGAAGCGTAAGTAAAATGACTCTACTGCCAAAAGCTGCACTTAGAGAAGCCTCCTAGGAGAGCAACTTTATTTTATTTGGTAATAACTGATCTTGAGTGTGACTGATTTGAAGAGTGTCTTGAAAATCCTGGAGCTGAGGACTTGACAAAAGTTTCTTTCAAACTAGAAAGCTTCCTGGCTAAAGAGGTTGAAAATAGCTTCACTATCACTAGCTAGCTATTTCAGAAGCCTGCTGTCAAATATTTTCACTGGATAACAAAGTAATTCTTTGTATATTGAAGAAGGCAGTACAAGAGAGGATCTCAATCTGTTCTTTCCTTTCAGTGAATACCTTGCTGTCTTCAAGAAGACTGTATCGTCACATGAAATTTTCCTTCAGCGGATTTCTTCTCATTCTGTGCTCAGCAAAGATCGCAATTTTCATGTTTTCCTGGAGTATGACCAGGATGTAAGATTTCTTTATTTTTTCCTCTCTGCTTTCCAAGTGAGGCAAATTGTTAAGAGTGCTGTTGTTTTTTTTCTGGGCACAGTCAAAATGTTATGTGAATCTATATGCAGCATCAACAAGTAGATATTGTAAGTACTTCTGTGAGATGAAAGGATGAAAGCCTGACCTTTAGACCTTTTTCTGTTATAAATCTCAGTGTTTATAAATCCTTGTCAAATTGGTTAGGAAGCCAACTTTGCATGCCTTTATCTTGGGAACAACCAGCAGGTTCAGGTGTACCTGTGCTGTGCTGTGTTGCATAGTCCTAAAATTGAAGAATGGAGGTATATTAAAGTTAGTCCTGCATCTGTTTTATCACACCTAATTATGAGTGCTGGATGCTGATCCAAGATGTATGTCCTGGTTTTGGCTAGGACAGACTTAATTTTCTTGTGGTAGCAGTGAGGGAGAGCAAGAAAGGGGCTGGGCTGGGGGAGGTTCCATATGGGGCACCTAGGTTGTATTCCATACCACCCACATCATTACTGGGGGGTGAAAGTGTAAAGGATTCTCTCTTTTGTGGAAAAAAGGGGGCATTAGGTTGCGGCTGGTAGCAAAAAGGGCCATGTGGAGGGTCCATGGCCATTTTCATCTGTCTTGGGCCTCGAAGGGCCTTGGTCAGTGAACACCTTGTTTGTATGTAAATTACCCTCTTTTTGCATACCTTTTGTTATTAACATTTTAATGATGATCTTGGTGATCATCAGGAATTGGCCTGAAGGTGAAAATTTCAGACTATCATCAGAAGAGGAAGAGGAGCAGGTGACACTTGCTGAGGAGGCCCCACCATATAGTCAGCTACCCAAAAATGAAAAGTGACACGCTCTCTTCACTGATGGTTCCTGCCATATCGTAGGGACAAATTGAAAATGGAAAGCTGCCATATGGAGTCCTATGCAGAAGCTATCAAGGGACACGGTGGATCGAGTCAGGCTGCAGAGCTGAAAGGCGTCCAACTAGCTTTAGATATCACTGAAGGAGAGAAATGACCAACACTCTACACTGACTCATGGATGGTAGCAAATGCTCTCAGGGAATGGCTAGACCAATGGAAAAAGACCAATTGGCAGAACAGAGGTAAATCCATCTGGGCTGCTGAATTGCGACAAGACTTTGCTGCCTGGGTAGCGAAGTTGACTGTGAAAGTCCATCATGTAGATGCACATATACCTGAGAGTTAGGTTGCTGAGGAGCATTGCAATAATGGTCAGGTAGATCAAGCTGCCAAGATTAAAGTGTCTCAGGTAGATCTGGACTAGCAACACGAGGGTGAATTATTTCTGGTGCAGTGGGCCTGTGTTGCCTCAGGTCATCAAGGGAGAGATGCAACATACAGATGTGCTCATGATCGAGGGGTGGACTTAACCATGGACACTACCTCCTAGGTTATCCATAACTGTGAAACATGTGCTGCCATCAAGCGGGTCAAGCCCCTGTGGTATGGGGGACAATGGTTGAAATATAAATATGGGAAGGCCTGGCAGATCAATTACATTACTCTCCCGCAAACCTGCCAAGGCAAGTGCTATGTGCTTACAATGATGGAAACAGCCACTGGATTGTTGGAGACTTACCCTGTGCCTTACACCACTGCCTGTAACACCATCTCTGGCCTTGAAAAGCAAGTCCTGTGGCAGCATGGCACCCCGGAAAGAATATAGTCAGACAATGGGACTCATTTCAAAACCAGCCTCATAGATACCTGGGACAGAGAACATGATATTGAGTGGGTATATCGTATTCCCTATCATACACTAGCCTCTGGGAAAGTTGAAGGGTACAGTGGACTGTTAAAAACCACATTGAAAGCAATGGGTGGTGGAACCTACAAACATTGGGATGTACATTTAGCAGGGGCCACCTGGTTAGTTAGCACCTGAGGCTCCACTGGTCGAGCTGGCTCTGCCCAATCAGAACTGCTATGTACTGTATCAGGAGATAAAGTCCTTGTGGTGCATATGAGAAATGTGTCAGGGAAGACAGCTTGGATTAGTCCTGCCTCAAGCAAGGGCTTGTATTTGCTCAAGGACTTGGATGCACTTAGTGGATAATGCGAAGAGACAGGGAAACACTATGTGTACCTCAAGGGATTTGATTTTTGTGGAAGAACCACCTGTAATATTGAATTGTATGTTATATTGGTTACTGAATAACAGTGCCACTGTGTGCCATAACTACCATGGACAATGAGGATGGACTGCCCCCAGTACACCAGTTGGGAGCTCGTGATGCAGCTTATAACCAGCTGACAACACACCAGCTCTCCTGACCTGGAAGACAAATAGGATAGATAGAACCCACAGTCATAGACTAAATGAACTCAACAGATATCTTGTGGGGATGGCCATTGACTATGGGAATAATATCTGTGCTTGACTATGTTTATATATGTGTATGTAGTTGGAAGGTGTCAGATTTGGGCATGACATAGATGGTATAGAATAAGGGGTGGATAATGTCCTGGTTTAGGCTAGGACAGAGTTAATTTTCTTGTGGTAGCAGTGGGGGAGAGCAGGGAAGGGGCTGGGCTGGTAGAGGTCTGCATGGGGCACCTAGGTTGTATTCTATACCACCCATATCATTGCTGGGGGGTGAAAGTAAGGGATTCTCACTTTTGTAGAAAAAGGAGCATTGGCTTGGGGTTGATAGAAAAAGGGGACCGTGTGGAGGGTCTGTGACCATTTCTGTCTGTCTTGGGCCATGCAGAGCCTCAGTCAGGGAGCATCTTGTTTGTATAGAAATCTTTTTGTGTATCTTTTGTTATTAATATAGTTACTGTTACTATTTGTTATTTCACTGCTACTTTTCAAGTAAATTTGTCCTATCTCAACTCAAAAAATCTCTGGTTTTTATCTCCCTCTCACCAGGAGAGGTATTGGGGGGCAGAAAGGGAGCAGCTTGACTGGGATTTAATTTTCTAACTGGTTTTTAAAACCAGCACAATATGTAAGGAGGAACCGAGCTGTTTTTGGGAATGAGAACGAATCTGTGGCACAGGATAATTGAAGTTCTTCTAGCCAATCTTTTTGTTACCTGTTACATTCATTATGCTGTTACTGTGGAGGACTTGGAAATCAACCTGCTCTGATATATACTAGGTGTAAATGATGTTATTACATTTCAAGAGTCAAAACAGTCACTTTTTCACCACTGGGGATGACTTTAAAGATATTTTTGCCTCTCTGTTGCAGCTGAGTGTTCGGAGGAAAAACACTAAAGAGATGTTTGGTGGCTTTTTAAAAAGTGTAGTAAAGAGTGCTGATGAGGTCCTTTTCTCTGGAGTCAAGGTAAGGTTGTTGATTAACCTCTTACAGTCTTGATTGTTTTGTGCTTTCTGCTCCAGGGAAGTTACTCATGTCTGCTTCAGGCTTGATGTGCATGAGGCTCAGTTACTAATGTCAGCCTGCCTTGTTACTGCTGTCCTAGCCTGTATTAATTTTGACTTCTCTAAAAATAAGACATTGGAGCTACAGGCTGTTAAATTTCAGTGTATACTTCAGGTTTCTGGTGGATGCAAAAGAGTTGCCTTAACACCTGATTCTGGTGGGGAGGAAGGAATTACACCTTCAGCAAACATGCTTGTGGCTTTTGTCTACTTTGGAGCTCTGAATTTATGGGTTTCTGCTTGCACTAGACAAGATCAAATACTAAAAACTGTAACTGGTCCAGGTTCAGCTTATTCTGTCACATTGCCATGGTAGCTCTTCCCAATAGGCTTGCTGTCCTAAAGACAATGTCACGAAATGTTACAATATGTATCATATTTGATGTGGATGTGAAGCAAGCTTGTAAACTGTTTACTCCTGAGCTGCTGTGTTGCAGCAGGCCTAGGAAATAAAATTCCAACAGTTGGTAGCCCTGAGGACTGTCTGATAGTAACTTACTGGTTGCTTCAGACAGTCTGCATCAGTGAATACTTGAGTGTCAACTTCATTTTCACCACACGGTGTAAAAGAAACTTGCCAAATGGCTTGGTGTGTTAAACCCTTTTCTCAGGATCTTGCTCTGAACTCAGTTTTTCAATAGCCATTTGGTGGGCCTATGCTCAGGTCCAGGCTATGGTTGTCTGTTTGGCCCTTCCCAAAATAGGGAAGAGTTTGTATTCTGCAGGAACTAACTTAACAGGTCATACTCTTTTTCAGGAAGTAGAAGATTTTTTTGAGCAAGAGAAGACTTTTCTTGTGAACTACTACAACAGAATCAAGGATGCGTGTGCAAAAGCAGATAAGATGACAAGATCTCATAAAAGTGAATTTTTTCAAAGACCTTTGAGAAATCATGCAGTTTTGCTGATTTCAGCCTGAAAACCTTGTCTTGTTCTTGCAGATGTTGCAGATGATTATATTTATACTTCGGCTTGCTTGAACAGCCTGGCATTGGAAGAACCTACAGCTATCAAAAAGTAAGTAATTCAAACTGTTCATAAACATATCCTGAGCATTAAAACTCTTTCCTCTAGCACTCCTGGTGCGGCAGACCTAATGTTATCAATTGCAACTTAACTAGTTGATCTCTTGCCAGTTGTGCCCTGGAGCGGAATTGTGCTGGTTGTCAAAACTTCTTCTTAGCAGAAATTTCCTTGCATTTTTTCAGGTCATAAACTCCCAGAGACTATTGGAGAAAGGGTTTATGCATATGTGTTCTGATGTGCTGTTAAATATAACCACAGCTTACACTAAGTCTGTACTATCTTCTAGACCTTTGCAGTTCCAGCATAGTAGGGATTTTTTTAAGCTGTAGAAACCTAGTTACCTTTTCTGAGGTGAATTCCACCTTTCAACTTTGCTGTCAATTTACCAAGACCTTGTTAAAACAGAGTGTATAGCTGAACAAACAAGCTGGTTCATCCCTCTTGGAGGATAGCAGCAAGGAAATTCTCCACAAGACCTTTATGCTCTGAAGATTAGCATTGTTACTTTAAGTGATGTCTAGCCGCTCAGCTGTTAGGCTGGAATCCAGCACATTGAACCTTTTGTCCAGGTCTTTGCCTAGACCTAAATTCTTTTCAAACACTTGTCTGGATCTGTATGCAGGAGAAAACTCTAGCCTTCAGCTTTTTGGTCTCCTGGCAATTGATCCTGGCGTTTTTCAGACTAAGAAGTATCTAAGCCTTACTTATGCTTTTTTTTATTTTCCCTCTCCCCACTTAGGTACTTGTTGAAAGTTGCAGAGCTCTTTGAGAAACTCAGGGTAAGGAAAACTTTGGCAGGGGGTGGGGTAGCGGGAAAGAATATGTATGTTGCTGTTACCTGTTCTATAGCAACTATTTTTATTTCTTCTGCAGAAGGTAGAGAGCAGAGTTTCATCTGATGAAGACTTAAAGCTTTCTGAACTGTTGAGATACTACATGCTCAATATAGAAGCTGCTAAGGTGAGAACAGTTTTCTTTTTGAAGCTGTTTTGTTATAGGCATCATGACTCACACATGATATTCTTTGTGCTTTAAGAAGACAGGAAGACGAGCCATTATTTTGCCTAAGAAACCTGACACTCTTGAACCACAGCAGAATGTAGAAACTATATATTATCTGGAGTCCAGCCACTTACAGGAGATCTTGGCCCAGTTTTTGTAGTGGAAGAACTCTTAAATTTCTGTAAGTTAGAGCAAACTGAATTTAAGTCTGCAGCAACGTTCTTTCCCATCCCCTGCCTGAATACTCATGGACTTGTCATAAAATCAATGATGACTGATTAGTACTTGGGATGTGCTTCAGGATTTTTAAAGTACCTTAGCACAAATATGCTGTAACATGTGAAGGCTGTTGGAACCTGGACTTCCAAGAACACTGTGGTAGATTGATTAACTGCAAAAGCCTTGCCAGCAACTCTTTTCTAATCAATACTTCATTTGACATGGGGGTGTCTATGCTGAAAAAAGGTATCCAGGTATAACTTATTGGGCTTCTTCATCTAGTGTCTTACCTTTTAATGTCAGAAATCCTAGAACATTCACTACAGGCTCTCACCGTGTGCTGTACTGTTATTTAGATATCAAGACTACACTGCTGCTAGATTAGAAAGGAATTGACTCAGACCTGTACTATGTCTCATGTCTAGGTTAGTATAGTGCTTCAGTCAAACTGTCAGATCTCCAACAAATTAAATGTCTACCGGAAGTAGACTGAGGGAATTCAGAAAATGCTGTTCCTTCTTAGTGGGGTAACTCACCTTGTAGCAAGATAAACTACTTTAAGGGAAAAAACTATGCCTACAGTAGCCATCAGAATTCCTTGGCGAAGGCATAAGTGGCTGTCCTGAAAATTTAGTACTACACTGGTGAAAGGCGCCTATTGCTATGCCAAGAGTGTGGCAGGCTGTAATAGCTTATTGAAGGAAGCAGAATCTGGTGCTGAAAGAAATGAAACCTCTTGCTGCTAAGGTAGTTGTAACCTCAGTTTGGGAAGTATTCCTCTTAAGGCTTTGGTGTGCTATTTCTATCTACATTCAGGATCTTCTGTACAGACGAACAAGGGCTCTTGTTGACTATGAAAACTCGAACAAAGCTCTAGATAAAGCCAGACTAAAGAGCAAGGATGTTGGGCTGGCCGAGGCACATCAACAGGATTGTTGTCAGAAGTTTGAGAAGATTTCAGAATCTGCAAAACAAGGTAAAGCAGGCATTGCTGTATTTATGCTTAAAAGGAGATCTTAGTGCAGTCTGGGTCTCCATCTGACCTTCAACTGCTGCAGGCTTCTGAACACTCTCCTGAAACAAGTAGTACCTTGCAGGGCAGTATAGATGCCTGTAAAACTAAAACAGCTAAACATTTTTTAAAACCATTCTCTTTAGCAGAGCAGTGTCAGTACTAGACCAGCCTTATTTATAAGCCCCTAGTATTTGCTTTCTAGGTTGAACTCCTGATCTCGGCCTCCACCTGAAGGTAACTGCTAAGGCTTCTAATTGTCTCAGTCAGAACTGTGCAAACAGGCTTTTGCTCTGTCCCAGTATAACTGAGTGACTTTTACAGAGTTTCAAACATTGGTTCTTCGTAGAAGAATATATATATATGGACAATATAAAGCAGAGGAAACATACTTTCATGGCACACGTGCTCTTCCTTCAGTGTATTTGGCTTCTAAATGCTCTGTGTTCTCACAGAGCTTGTGTGGCTTATTACTGTTTTACTCCAGTTGTCTTCCTACAAAGCTTTTCTCTCTTAGGCTGCCTGTTTCCTCACCAAGATGTTGGTGTCATGTGATGAATGAATCTCTGTCTAGAAAACAGCAGGACTAACTCTTGAACCTTTTTTTTCTTTTGTCAAATATTCTAACTAGAGCTGCATATCAGAACTCGTGAAACATAAGGGGCATTACTGAAACTTGTCACATTTTCTATATGTCTTACCTATGTTCTTCTCTACAGAACTGATGAGCTTCAAGCAGAAGAGAATAGCAGCATTCCGCAAAAACTTAATTGAAATGGCAGAACTGGAAATAAAACATGCAAAGGTGTGTTCTATTTGGAATTTAACAGGCATAGGTTCAGAGAAGTAAGTACTGTGTAACTTGGATGATTTGCTGGGTTCCCTTTAAAACTAGGAAGTGTGAAATAGAACAGCTAGGCTCTTCAGCTGAGATCTTAAGAGGAGAAGCTGTAGGCATAGTGTGTACAAAGTGCATAGAAAGAACAAATGCTGACAGTTTTATCTGTCCCATGCAGAAAGTCTGCATTCAAGCTGTCACTCCTAGGACACTAACCTACTGCAGTGAGAAGTCTCAGTTTTGCTGGTAGTACACAACAGGTCACCTGACTTCCCATCAGGCAACCTCGTCTATGGGTTTGACTGTGTCTGGAGGCAGCTGCTGTTTCCAGTGCTCCTGAGCGCTGTGAGAGCACATCCTGTAGCTTATGATCCAGCTGTCAATCATTCTCACTTTGGCTTGTCACTGAAAGGGGACACTGGCTTTGTAGTAGCCTCTATTAAGCTTAACTGAGCAGGCTTGAAGGTTGCTGCAGGGACCACAGCTTAATCTAGGAAAGTATACACAAGTTATGGGGTTTGTTAACTTAGTGTAGGGAACAAAGCAGGAAGAGGTAACTGTGCATCCTCAGCTTCTTTTGAAGAACGAAAGTCTAATGTCTCACTCCCTAAGAGTACTGGACTTTACCACAGGTAACTACTTCAGTGCTGAACTGGAATGTGACACCAACGACTTGACGTTACTGCTCAGTTTGGCCCACTTTAAAAGCTTACTGCTGCCTCTTGCCCCTCTCCTTATCACAAGCTGAGTCATGGTTGAAGGCCTGCAGGAAGAGGTAGATTGCAAACTATCATCTGGTTTTGATTTTTTTACTGCTTGAACGCTTGTCTTTGCAGTAGAAGATCTTTAGCATTGGCACAGGCTACAAAATCCTGGGATGGACCTGCTATTTCAGAAGCATCTTCATTGTGAAAGGCAGGATTTAAATTATTAATTATACTCATCTGAAACTAATTCTCTTCCTTTCCAGAATAATGTTTCTCTCCTGCAAAGCTGTATTGACTTGTTCAAGAGCTAAGGCGCCTTATTCTGAAAATGTGACAAAAGCATCAATTGCACTCAATGGCCAGGGGCAACTTATTGGCTTGACTTCATTAGCTTAAAATAAATATTGTCACTGAGATTCTGTTTGACTAATACTTAAATATGTTGATAGCAATACACTGACTTTATAAATGAGAGCTGAATTATGTATGAATTGTCTGGATGTAGCTAACATCCTGTTGGCTGATAACTCAAAATGAGTCAAATATAAGAAATTAATTTGCTGTTGACTGACTTCATCTAGCAGAAAAAGTGTACTGTGAACTTTTTTTTGTTTTGTTTTGGGTCATTATCTGCCTCTTCATGGCCCTGATATATTTGAAACTTGCAAATGGAAGTGACTTAAGTGTAGTAATTTTTTAAAGTAAATATCTTAACATTCCACTTCCCAGACAGATTTCTACTACAATATATTTTGAATTTCTATAACTGCGTTCACTATTTGTACACTTGGGCAATACAGCAAATAAAGATGTCTGATACAACAAGCCGTTGTTGTATGGCAAGAATTTGTGTGGGATCTAAAATGACAAAACAGGCTTCAGACACAGAACTACCAGAAATTGCTCATCAATTGGAGCTCTTAGGATAACTAGAGATAAATATTTGACCCAATAGGATTGTTCTTAGAATGAGTGTTGACATGAAATGTGTGGACTTCCAGTAATGTTGCTGTTTGAGTGGGTGTCTGTAGCTTTTACTTCCAGTATGCTGCACACGAGGAAACCAAGCCTTTCAAAAGTACTGATACATATAGATAGCTTGAACTCCTTCACATTGACAAAAGATGAAGTATTGTATAGTAGTCTTTACACCTCCTGCTAGCACCAGGAGGCTGTTTAAAACTTCAGGGCTTCTGGAAGCACAGCCTTAGACAGTCATCCATAAGATAAATCTCTTGAAATGTTGCATGGCCAAATGGGTGCACACTGCCATAGCAGAGGCAGCTCAGGCTGTAAGCCCCAGGGTCATCTTTTGACAGTTTACTATCATTTGCATATGTAGCTATAGGTCAGTGAGTCATATCCTTCTAAAGGCAACTTTTGGAGTTACATGAGTGTCTCAGCCTTGCTTAGTTTCATGTGAAAGTAGGCTCTGTACTTGTGCTCTGGGCAGACTGCCTGAAGCAGCTTCAACCAGAGAAGCTCTGAGAATGGGCACCTCAGTGGCAGTATCTAAGGATTGTTCAATAGTTTACTTTCTTCTGACCTATTGCTTTTTCTTCTTGGTATCCCATGAAAACTGAGCAACTCTTACCAGCCACACCATCCTGCAGAGGTCTAGCTGAAAAATGTCTGAAATGTCTCCTTTTACCTTTGTTTGGCAGGAACAGTTTCAACTTGTGGTTGCTTGCCATAAACACATTGCTTGTGCATATGTGACCTCTATATAGCTGATAGCTGACAGATCTCTTATAAGCTCCTAGCCACTTGTCTTGGGGCAATTACTGGACCCAAACCGAACGATTTATGCTGGCAAAACTTTGGCTTTCCTAAAGAGGCATGCTGTCCCTCACACTCTCACTTCTGACTGCTTTACCCTATGCTCCAGCTGTACCAGGATAAATTTCTCCTAGCATGCTGTAACTGTTTGGAGTCATGGTTGCTTCATGTCCTCTTGTACTTACTGCCTATTACATGGGAGAAGTAACACCTTGCTTATGCTGTTTTTTAGTAAAATATTGGTCTATACTGGGTCTTTCTGAACCAGCTCCAGTAGCTGGGTGATCTTAGTGAATCAGTCAGTAGCCTATGCACCTAACTGTCTTCAACTTAAGAAGCTGAGCTCTGAGTTTATCCTAAACTACTTCAACTTGGTTCAAAGGCTTTTCTTACTTCTCCCAGAGAAAGGCTGCAACTGGTTTTGACATGGCAAGCAATACTTTGTCCTTACTCCAGAAGCAGTCCAGGTTATGTTGGGCTTCATGCACTGCCATTACCAGGGTGTTTGAAGCTGAGACACCCTTTTTCTCTTTCAAATATCCTTTTAGAGCTTTTTCATGAGATGTTTGTTCTTGTGTGGTTTGCATTCTAAATTCTTGACATATCTCAATTAGAACATTAGTCTGAACAGATTGAAAATATGTAAAATAGTTTGAGTGGATGTAATTATGGCTTTATACTGATGTTGTGGTTATTGTAGTTATAGGTAATTTACAATAACTGCAAGAAACGGTAGCTATAAAGCAGTCTGTGACAATACTGCTGTTGTTCTGAAGGAAGCTGTTATGTGTCAGCTATTGCTAGCAGAGTGCATTGCAGTGACCTTCAGTGTGTTGATTTGGAAAATAAGTCAGCACAGATCACACTTCTGGAGGCCAGTGGGTGGCAGGCTGCAACAACCACTGGTAACCTACTCTCAACATTTACCCTCAGACTGAGTTGTAAGGAAGTCCTGGAAAGGCTGCTGCATAAGTGTTTCTTACCTGGTAGATGGACATATGTTGATACATAAGAGAAATTAGCTGCCTATGTGGGCAGTCTGCTCATAGGAAAGGACAGAAATCTTCCTTTAACTGATATCACTAGACCTGACTTTTCTTATAGCAGGGCCTTGAATAAAGCCTTAGCAGAACAAAAATCAGCATGGGCAGATCAGTGTGATAAGACAGATTATCGTCAATATGAAAGTAAGTTTTTTTTAGAAATGTTGCTGAGACTTAATTTAAAAGGCTGGTTGGGGTGGATGAGAGCAGAGTTTCATAGATGTCCCAAACAAAGGCTGACTAGTGTACCTTTACTGATCCCATCTCTAAAGCAGCATACCCTTACAAGCTTGTTGCTTTAATTTATGGGTTGCAAACTGCCTTTTGAGAACAGGCATAAGCCTTGCTGCTCTGGTGGTAACTGATGTGAAGAGCCACACACCACAGATGTCAATTCTTCTTCCTCTGTTTGAATGAGGTCAGAAGAAAATCTACTGTTTGGTCTAGGTTACTAAGGTTTGTTTGACATTCATCAATGGTGTTGGTGATGAAGGCAGATGCTGCTACTGTCTAGAGCTCAGCATGCCATGGCCTGCAGCACTAGTGCTTGTTTTAGTTCTGTGCAATCCCTTCCAGCCGTGTTCCCTCCAATAAGTAGCAGGTCTCTGCTAAGTCAGCTTGCCTTGCCTGAAATGGGCTAGGAGTTCTCCCAGTAGCAGCACAGAAGGTACAAACCTCCATCCTGGAGACAAGAAGATATAATCTTTAACGCAGCTGGTAGCAGAGGTGCATCCCCCTGCACTTTGGTGCTATCCTTGAGGCCTGTGTTACAGGAAATGGCATAGAGAAACTGCCCTCCAAGGGAGAATGCTCCTGCTGGCATGCAGCTGCTGGGCTGTAGAGGGTATTAGAGCATACTGTGCTCCCTTCTCCACAGGATGAGTTTGGAGTCTAGCTTTTTCTCTTCCATCTTGGGGAGGAGGAAATACTTTTTGTCCTCCCAACAGAAGCATGGATCCTGAGGAATCACTTCTGTGCTCAGCATTAGAGAATAAGGAGATGATTTGTGTCTCTGGACAGCAGTAGCATATATCTACTTTCAGAGAGGCAATGATGACTGTTGTGATGGTTCAGACAAGACGGGCTGGAACCGAGCTGCAGGTATCTGGCTGCCTGTCTCCAGCGGAGCAGAGCTAGCAGTTAAGATGGGCGTAGAGCAGTAGATCTGGGTTGCAGTGCAAACCCAGGAGAGAGTAGCAGCATGATAGCTGGATGCAGAAGGCTGCAGTCTTGGTTTGATGCTTGTAGTGGGTCAGGTGTACTAAAGCAAGAGCATTTTGGGGGTGTGTGAAACAGGTGTTGATTGTACTTAGGGATATTGATTGTACTTAGGGATATTGAAAAATTGCAGATGGGAAACCAACCCGATCACATAAGAGAGGCTCATAAATGTGTTCTATTGCACAAAACTGATTCCAGGTGGTGGAATAAAACAGGTTTGTAGCCATAGAAAGGGAATTATTAAGGATTGAGTGTACTTCAATAAAGAATTGGTCTGCCCTGCTTTATGAAAGTACTTGGTTCTAGGAAGACACATCCCTGATGCAAGACAAAACAAAGAACATTTTGTGTGTCTTTGAGATACAGAAAGCCTGAAAGAGCTGTGGGCATGTACTGTTTATGCTAGTTGCTGCTTGGTCTGTGCTTCCCACAGTGTTTTTGCAGCTAAGACTGGCTTTACAAGCCTGAGAAACTCTGCTAGCACTCTGGCCAGACTGAGGGCAGAAATTCAGCTGCCATCCAAATAATCATTGGGATGATTATGAATGTTTTAATTAGAAATTCACATGACTAGTTGTTTGGGGGGGTTCTTTATTTGTTTTTGTTTTTCACATACTCCCAATTTATTCTGCTCCTCTCCATTCCACCCTGTTTCTTTTGGACTGCACACTCTGTAGGGGAGCTCTGATCTGAGGCCCTGCCTTGTGCTACGCTTCTGATAACAAATGTGAATTTCTCAAAACATGGAGTTGGGAAAGTTTTCTCAGCAGGTATTGATAGTTTCTCACTTGCCATCTCCTTTGAAAGATTGGGAGAAACTGCTTCTTTATGCTGTGAAGCAGAGAGCTCTGCAGAATTCCTATTCTTGGATGTAATTTTCAGTACTTTCCTGCACTCCCTGCACTTGATGCTATGGTTGAGAGCACAGTTACAAGTTATTTTAATTTGTACTCCTAAACACCTGCATCATCACTTGGTGGAGTATCTGAAATGGATTTGAAATATGTCCATTTGCAGCTCACTAGTCACTAGTGAAGGAGTGCAGGCACTGGTGATTCATTTTAATCCCTCAGATTGTTGCCTGGCTCCATCTTTGGACCTGCAGCTCACTGTTTCCCAAAAATTATGGTTCATCTGCTACCAAAATGCTGTCCAGTGGCTGAATTATGGTGTAGGCTCAGCCTTGCTTTTTACTTTATAATATTACAAAGCCAATGAGAAGGTCCAGCTGAGATCAGAGTTCAGCTCAGCTGGGTTTATGTGCTTGCATTCTTAAAGTAATCCCTGACAGGAGTGCTTTGTAACTTAAATAGACAAGTAGGAACAGTGTCTGTTTTACAGGGGAGGGGATTCAGGTAGTGTGTGGAAAAGGTGACTTGCCTGTCATTCCACAGGGAGTTTTTCTCAGAGCCGGTAATTTAACTTTAATCTGAAATTCCACTCCAGGGCTCCTGCTGTCTTGATCAGGTGCTGTTGAAAGCAATCGAATGAGTGCTTGTGATTTTTAGTTTGGCTGTC